ACATTCAAGGATGGGTTGGTTGGGGCTGTGAGCAACCTGATGTGGTTCAAGGTGTCCCTGCTCCTGCAGGGGGGTTGGACTGGGTGACCTCTAGGGGTCCCTTCCAACCCAAAACATTCGATGATTCTATGATTCTATTCTGGGACATGCCAAGGGCTGTGAAAGCCTCTTTCCCCCCCTGAAAAACATCCTGGTTTTCTTTTCCTGGGCAGCTTGGCAGAAAATCAGATCAGCAACAAGGGAGCCAAAGCGCTGGCCAGGTCGCTGATGGTGAACAGGAGCCTGACGGTGCTGGAGTAAGTGTTCCCCCTCTGCCAGCTCCTGGCACGCACGCATTCCCCGCCAGGAACCATTCCCCTGGCTGCAGTGGGGCCGGATCCCACCCAGCCTGACCCAGCTGGGGAGGGTCTCCAGCCCCCAAAGCCACCACCGCTCAAGAGGTGAACGTCGCTCTTGTGAGCTGCCGGCCTGGTGTCCCACCCTGGCGGTGCCTGAGACTGTGCCCCATGGAGGCATTTGGCTTACACTGGGCATGTGCCGCTCCGGCTTTGCTAACCTTGGCTTTTCTGCCCATCTCGCCCCAAGCCTGCGGAGCAACTCCATCGGCCCCGCTGGAGCAAAAGCACTGGCTGATGCACTGAAAAAAAATCAAGTCCTGCTCTCCCTGAAGTAAGTCTCAGCTTCTGCAGCACCTCCGGGAGCAGATCCCCAGGACAAGCCTCTTCCAGCCCTATCCTGTCCCATCAAGGCTTTTCCCACCTCGAAGTCCAGCAGGGGGGGAAGACCCTGGGCATGACCTGGCTTGGTTGTGCTGGGCGCGCGAGTGCAGCTGGCAGAGACCCAGTGACTGGGGCAGCCCTGGGCCAGAGATTTTGGGACCCTCCTGCCCCTCAGCTTCAATGGGTTGAGGTCCAGGTCCAGGTCTAGATCCAGGTCCAGGTCTAGGTCCAGATCCAGGTCCAGGTCCAGATCCAGGTCTGTCCCTCACACATGAGCTCACAGGATGCTGGTACACAAGAGGAGGCATCTCCCATGGGAGAGGAGGGAGGGAGAGCCTGGGGAAGGGATGCTCGGGGGCCAGATGCCTTTCTCACACCAGAGACGGGGGCAAGGAAATGCCAGGACAGGCAACCAGCACCCGGCATGGCTCCTGGCCCCGCTGCGGTGGCTGCCGGGTACAGCTTCACTCCTCTCTCCTCGCAGCCTGCAGCACAACACCATCAAGGAGGACGGTGCCACCTTCCTGGCCGAGGCCCTGCTGACCAACCACAGGCTGGTGACCCTGCAGTGAGTGACCGGGACCTGCTGTCCCCCCCCCCCCCAGCCACCCAGCAGACCGAGGTGCCGCTGCCGGGAGAGGTGGCACCCGATATTCATGGGTGCCTTCCTCACCTTTGCAGCCTGCAGAAAAATGCCATCGGAGCCCACGGTGCCAGGAAAATAGCGGAGGCGCTGAAACAGAACTGCAGCCTGAAGGAGCTGACGTAAGAGCAGCACGTGGCGGAGGGACGGTGACGCCAGCG